ATGAAGATAAGTGCTCCATGTTATTTTTTTTTTGTATTGCTTCCTTTATTACTATGTAGTGACGTTTGTATCTTCTAATCAGTTGTTGCTTCAAGTTCATGTTGTCTGAGATTTAAAATTGTTACCCTGCTTATTGTGGTTGATGTTGTGCATGAAATACTTGTAGGAATCCCTTCCTGGTTCTCACCTGGGTCCAAGAAGTCTATATATATATATATATTTTTTTTAAATAAATTTATTGAGAAACAAATCACAATGAGACAGTTTCAAAACTGATCAGTAGGACAGTTTCAGTAATAAATACATTGCACATTGTTGTCTCAGTGGTTATTCATTGTACAAGATGCAGACATGACATCCCGTCCGCAAACACTATTAGAACAAATCTTATTCATTGAATTACAAGAATGTAGCTGTATATCTATCCTAACTATTTTTTTTTTATTTATTACATTTATTTATTGTGTGTGTGTGGTCAGCTCTGCCCACCAGGGGGCAGGGCTGGCTGGCATGTGGTGCTGGGGGATCGAACCGAGGTCCCTGTGCTTTGCCAAGCTTGTTTCAAGTAGGTGCTTTAGACCACTGAGCCATCTCTCCAGCCCCTATCCTAACTATTTTGAATATACAGATACAAAATGGTCGTTTATTTGTATTCTCTTTTTTTGTTTAGTTTTGTCAGAGAAGGATATTTCATTGTCATTTAAATATTGTAGGTACATGAATTCAGCAAAATATTCCAGTATAGTACAGTAGTCCATAATAGAAGTGAAGAAGTCTATATTTATAATCTCAAAAATAAGTTATTGGAATCACACCTAGTTAACTCCAGTCTACCACTTCCAGTGCAACCCATGGTGAAAATAAAGACACTAAAACATTTATGGTTATGGGGAGCCAAGGAGCCCTAAGCCCAGCCACAGAGATGGCTTTCCAGAACAAAGAGGCCGGCCCAGGGCTGCACCTGGGTTTTATTCAGTGGTGGAGGAGGAGTGGCTTGAGGGTGAATGACTGAGAATTGTGAGAGGTAGGTGAGAGCTGTGAGCTGGGCTCTGTAGCTGGCCTGCATTGACTTCTGCCATATGCAGAGAGAAGGGTATGCAGAAAAGTAATTTGCTTTATACCATTGAGATAGTATCTAGTGTTTTGGGGTCCAGTGCTTCAGCTCTGATGAGTAATTTTTCAAGCCTCAGCAAGTCATAACCTCTGTCTCAAGGCTTGATCCCAGCCAACTGTGTAGAGCACTGGCTCTTTGTCCTGTCTTGACCCAAATATGAAAGAGCAGCAGGTGTGGGCTATCAGGGAAACACAAGTGCTGTCTTCAGAGAGTACCACCAGCACCTTGGCTAGACTAACATGCATTGCTTAAGGCCAGTTGAACGGATAAGGAAAAGTCCTAGCCAGCTGTGTACCTGTGTACGTGGAAATAGGGTCAGGCACACCCAAAATGGAGACAACTGCTCCTTTAAGGAGAGTCGCCCAAGTGGTCCTCCACAGTGCTGTTTTATGTTCCTTAATTTTTGGTCAACCAGGGCTGGCTGGATAGCTCAGCTGACTAAAACGTCTGCCTAGGCAGGGAGCAGTGGCTGGGATTTGATCTGAGGCACCACAAGCCAGGCAGGCTTCAGCCCTGGGGCACTGCTGAGACCACAATTGAGACTAGGCATGGTGGCGCACACTTGTGTTCCCAGCACTTTGGAGGCTGAAAACAGGAGGATCACTACGAGTTCAATCTACATAGTGAAACCCTGTAGACCCTGTACTAAATACATTTAAAAAAAAAATTAATCAATGCATGTTGTTTTGCATTAAATGGGTTTTTTGAATGCAAATGACTGCTGGATTCTTTTTTGATGCAATCCACCAATCTGTTTTAATTCATGAGCTGAAGGTATTAATATTGAGAAATATTTCCATTTGAGCAGTTTTCTTTCCCTTTCACTGTATCTGCCTTACCTTTTGGATCTTATTTCCTTTTTTTTGGTAGAACCAGGATTTGAACTCAGGCCCTTGTGCTTGCCAGACAAGCGCTTATTCTACTGAGCCATCTCCCTGGCCTCTATCTTTCTTTATAGCTAAGTAAAAATAATTTATCTTTTTTTGTCTATTCCTTGGTTGATGGACATTTGAGTTTGCAAGATTTAGCTATGACAGATTGTCCTGCTATAAACATGGTTGCACATATATCACTGATGGGTGAAGGGATAAAGAATGAAGGATATATATGTACACACACAAGATAGCTAAAATAATTGTACTACTAATGTCTATTAATGCATGGAGTGGAACAGTTAATGTTTCTATTGTTTAAACATTTGTAAACAGTTAATGTTCTGTGTCTGTATCTGGTAATCTGAGCAACAACTTTGAAGATAGCGATACGCAATAAAATCATTGTGAATTTCCTATCTTGTTTTGAAAGTTTTGTATCATTTATATTGTATTTAGTCCTTAAAATTAAAAACAAAAAATCTGGGTCAGTGATACAGCTCAGTGGCACAGGGCCTGCCTGGCAAGCATGAGGTCCTGAGTGTGATTCCTGGTACCAAAATAAAAGCTTGTAGCAAAAAAAATTGAACGGCCGTCAAGATAATTCAGTGGACTGAATGCTTGCTCAGCAAGCGTAGGGACTGGGTTCGATCCCCCGTATTGTATGCCCCACCCCGGTGTGCTTAGCCAGTGACCTACTCCCTGCATGGTGGGGCACGCCTATAATCTCAGCACTGGGGAGTCTGTAAACAGGAGGATCACTGTGAGTCTAAACTGCTTAGTGAGACCCTATACCAAATACATTAAAGCAACAGCAATAACAAAACCCTAAGAAATGTTGCTGGGATGTGTTGATTAATTACTATCATTCCATTCTCACTGTGTTGGTGAAATCTTTCTTTTTTCGTATCATTTTAAAAAATCTTTATTGGGGGCCAGCCAAATAGCTCAGCGGATTAAAGCACCTGCAAGCAGGTGAAAGGGGTGGGGGTTCCATACTCAGGCCTGTTGTGCCTACCACGCCCCCAGGGCCTGTAATCTAGCTCTTGGGAGGCTGTAAACAACAGGCGGATCACTACGAATCACATCTAGTAGTGAGACCCTGAACACTCTTTAGACCCTTTCCTAAAGTACAATCAATCAATCTTTCATTTATGTATTTGATACATGGTCTTGCTATCCAGCTCAGACTTGTGCTCCTCCTGTCACAGCCTCCCCAGTGTTGGAATTACAGTGTGTGCCACCTTGCCTGGATTCAGTGGCCAGCATGGAGCAGGGCTGAGCATGCTGATGCTGTACAGGGCATCAAGCCAACCAGGGTTCTTGTGCTTCCCGGCAGGCTCTTAGACCACCATGCTGTCTCCCCCATCCTCCTGTAATTTTTTTTTTTTCTTTTGGCAGAACTGGGGATTGAATTTAGGCCCTTGCACTTGCCAGGGAAGCACTTATTCCATTGGGCCATCTCCCCGGACCCCTCCTATCATTTTTTCATTGTTTATCAACTGATCTTGCTTGTTAGTTTCATTTTATCTGAGCTTTTAGCTATACATATTCTGGTCATTGACCAACCAGGTTCTGATCCTATGAATAGTTCATTAAATAAACTGGTCACTAAGTGAGGAACTGTTTAAAATATGTACATCATACTATTAAGGTCAGAGGAAACTTGAACTCGACTGCTTTTATTTGTAAAACTCTTACATACAGTACTATAACTTAGAACATAAAACTACAGTACTGTACTGTCCAGTACAATCCCCAAACATTACAGTGCTTTATTTTATTTATTTATTTATTTATTTATTCATTTATTTTTGGTGGAACCGGGAATTGAAGTCAGATCCTTGCATTTGCCAGTCAAGTGCTTATCCTATTGAGCCATCTCCCCGGCCCCATTACAGTGCTTTATAAAAGACAGTGTTCTGTACATAATAAAGCCACTGAAGCTCCACCAAGAAGATGAACTCAAGACCTTGTGTATGAAACCAGTTTGAAGGTTCACAGTGCTGTCTAAATACAGTCAGAAAAGAAAGGAATTTATTTCCTAAATAATAATTTAAAAATAGATATACTGGGGCTAGGGAGATAGCTCAGTAGACTAAGCGCTTGCACACAAGGGCCTGAGTTCAATTCCCAGTTCCACAAAAAAAAAGAAAGAAAGAAATTGATGTCTCTGGGTGTCTCCTGTCAGGGCAAGTCATTAGATACTCATGTACCCCAGTTCTTTTTAACCAGCAGGAGGACCAGTATTTCAGTTCTCCTGTTTCTTTAGCAGTCAATTCACATCTAGCATCAACATTTCTGTATGGAGAGATAGCTCAGTGGTCTAAGTGCTTGCCTGCCTTGTGAGCGCAGGGCCCCAGGTTCAATTCCAGGTACCTCATGCTGTGCTGACCCGGAACCCAGTGTGTACTATGCTAGCCCTGAAATCAGGTGTCGTAATGCACACTTGTAATCCTGGTGCTGGGAAGGCTGAGACAGATGGATCACTAGGATGCTGAATGCATACATATATACATTCATTCATTCATTTATTTATTTTTTAGTGGGTACATACATTTAATTTTTTTTTAATATTTCAGTGTGATAAGTGGGGTGTGGTGGTGCTTGTGTGCTATTCCAGCTCTTAGGACACTGAAGCAGAAGGATTACCACAAATTTGTGGCCAACCTAGACTGTATAATGAGATCCTATCTCAAAAGCATAAAATAAAGGGGATCTGCGGGTTAGCTCAGTTGTTTTAGTGACTGCTCATGTAAATCAGTCAGGGGCAGGATACGGCGGTTCGAACCCCACCTCCACCTGCCTTAACAGACCTGCCTTTAAGGCAGGCTGAGCCAACCCCCATCCCCCCCCCAAAAATACATGAAATAAAAAATTTCCTGTATGACAAGTACATGTAGATAAAAAATAAGTGAAACTCGGACTTGTTTCAGCTTTTTATTACTGGATTTGAAATATTTCACATTGTGAATCTTATGCTTCTTCCTGGAAATATATTTCTGATGATTTAGGAGGCAGTGACCTATGAGGATGTGACCGTGAACTTCACTGTGGAGGAGTGGGCTTTGTTAGATTCATCTCAGAAGAAGCTCTACAATGAAGTGATGTGGGAAAACTTTATGAATGTGACTGCAGTAGGTAAGAGACACCATTTCCCATTTAATTAATTAATTTATTTATTTGTGTGTGTGTGCGCGCGTGCGCGTGTGTGCTTGTGGCCAGCTCAGCCCACCAGGGGGTGGGGCTGGCTGGCATGTGGTGCTGGGGGATTGAACTGCGGTCCCTGTGCTTTGCTAAGCTTGTTCTAAGTAGGTGCTTTAGACCACTGAGCCATCTAACCAGCCCACCATTTCCCATTTGTGCAGTCAGAGAGCACTGGTTATTGCTCATCAATGTAGTTTTCTTTAGTGGAATATAGAAATATTGGGGCTGGGGAGATAACTCAATGGAGTAAGTGCTTGCCTGGCAAGCACAAGGTCCTGAGGTCAATCCCTGGTACCGCCAAAAAAAAAAAAGGAATGTGGAAATATTTTCATGAATCCTCTGGGCATAGTGACATTATACCATCAATCTAACTGGAAGCAAATAATTTCTATATGATGTAGTAGTTCATCATTACATTTCTTTTTCTATACTTTAGGGAGAAGCTGGGATGACCAGCAAATTGAGGATGAGTACACAAATCACGGGAATACTCTAAGGTAATTTGCACTCAAAAGAATGTTCCTCAGACATTAAAACACTAACATCAAACAAAGTACACAAATGTGGCCATGTTCAAAAATAATACAGGCAACCAGGCATGGTGGCACATGCCTCTAATCCCAGCATCTGGCCAACTAAAATGGGAAGATTTCCAGTAGGTCATGGCTAGCTGGGGCTACATTGTGAGTTTGAGGCTGGCCTGAATCACATAGGAAGACCTTGTCTCAAAAATAAAAAAACACAGGGGCCGGGGAGATGGCTCAGTAGGATAAGCGCTTGACTGGCAAACACAAGGATCTGAGTTCAATCCCCGGTTCTGCAAAAAAAAAAAAAAAAAAAAAAAATTTAAAAAAAATAAATAAAAAAATACAAAGAAACAAAAGGAGACCATGCTCATTTTTATTTAAATTCACAAAATTTCTCCAAAGATGTATACATGCTTAGTATGTAGAGTCTGAGAATTAGGTATTTGAAAGTTCTTAATATCTGAAATGTAGTGAGTATTGACATTATGCCACAAATGATACTATCTAATGTATAAATTATTTTCCATGCTGCAGGTTACAGAAGTATTACATGAAATTATATGTAGGCATTAATAAAAGGTATATATAAAAAGCTTGTATTCAGTTGAGAGCCAAGAGCAGGATATCTAATTACATATACATGTATTTTCAAAAGGCTTTCTTATGAAATTATATAAATAGTGTTATATGTATTTAAATGTGATATATACTTTCAGTATTTTCCACATAAATACCCTTGTTTTAATAATAGCTGTTTTCAAGCAATCCTCAAAAGCATTTAGTCTGTATGTTTCAAAATACATAGAGTATTAGAAGGCTCCTTCCCATACATAATGTTGGCAGGAATGTCATTTTAGGGGAGGTTTATTTTTTGTATTTTGTGCTGAGGATGGAACCCATGGCTTCCAGCTTGCTCAGCAAACATTCTACCGCTAAGCCAAATCCCCAGTCCCTGGGAATGTCGTTTTAGTATAATACCTGTAGAAATATATAGAGAGGCTCCTCAAAAAAGTAAAAACAAAAATTCTGTTTTATCCAGGTGTACTTCTCCTGGGTATATTCCCCCAAAGTTAATAATACTACACTAATACCCGTAGCAGTAAAACTTATAAAAGTGAAGCTCTGAGGGCCAGCAGGGTAGCTCAGTGGACTAAGTGCCTGCTTTGGCAGGCACAGGGACCAGGGTTCAATCCCTGGTCCCACAAGCTATGCTGGCCCTGCCCCCAGGCACACTGAGCCAGCGACAGAATCTAGGCATGGTGGTGCACACCTGTAATCCCAGCTCTGGGGAGGCTGAAAACAGGACGATTACTATGAGTCCAAGCTGTGTATTCACACCCTGTACCAAAAACATAAATGAAAAAAAGAAAACAAGTGAAGCTCTGAAAACAGCCAACATGCACATTGACAGATGAGTAGAAAGAAAAAATGGGATCGCTGGGCAGGTATACTGGGAAGCTGAGGCACATTCGTGCTCAGCCTGGTCAGCTTTATGATTGATGAGATTCGGTCTCATAATAAAAATGTAGCTTAGGGCAGGGAGATAGCTCAGTGGTACAAGTGCTTGCCTGGCAAAGTCCTGTATTCATTCCCTGGTACTGCCACAAAAAAAAATAAAATAAAATATGTAGCTCAGAATGAACCTTGAGTTTGTTCTCCAGCCCTGAAAATCATGTGGTATGTATATATAATAGAATCCTACGCAGCCTTAAAGGAGAATGAAATGATACTATTTTACAGGAATGCAGGGTTCTGCAAACCCTATTATGTTAAGATAATTGCAGAAAGTTCAGTTTCACGTGTTGTATTTTATATGAGAAATGCAAGATATGAATTAAGTAAAATAAAGGAGGGGTGGTTGAAAAGAGAGAGGCAGACATTTTGGAGAGGCTGAAGAGGCTGAGTGGAAGGGGAGGGTTAGAGTCCTGGAGAAAAGTGTATGAAAAATTGTCCACATATGGGGATGCATATGTACTGACTATTTATTGCAAACGTTTCATTTCCAAGTTTCAAGTAAATACTGTTTTGGTGAAGGTTATTTCCAGGCGGTCACCTATCATGATCAAATATGCTTAGGGGGCGTCAAATCAGACCTGCTGGTAAGCCATTCATATAAAGACACTTTAATGTGACTACTTTTTTTTTTCTTTGACAGAAGTGCAGACATAGACCAATGCTGTCAATATAATTTCTGGTATCAACACAAAGAAATGGCTCTTATGACTCCCATTACAAATGTACACATGAAACTGCTTAATATAAAACCAGGGGAAGGCTTTGCATGTGGAGAGCTTCTGATTGGCCATGCATCACCAACCATGCCTATCACACAGAACCCTGGACTCATATATGAGCTCCATGGATTTGAACAGAAGTTGTTTGACTGTAACATATATGGGAAAACCTCCACTGACTCTCAGTCCTTTCTGAAACATGCAATGTCAAATCCTGAAGAAAAACCCTTTGGGTATATACAGTATGAACAATCCTACTCTGATTGCACTGAACAAAATAATGCTGAAAGGAAATTCTTTTTATATAAGCAAGATGTGAGAGCTTTCAGTACACCTGGCTGTGTTCAAATCCAGCAAACAAATCCCAATAGTGTGGATACCATACAATGTGGAAAAGATTTAAATTCTTACCCTGGTATTCAGGACCATGAAAGTGTTCATAGTAGGACAATATTTTATGTATATGAACACAGTTGGGAATCCTTAAATAACGCTTTGTTTTATAACCATGAAACAACTCAACTTGAGAGGAACCTCTACATATGTAATCAGTGTGGGAAATCTTTCGGCACAATGAGTCATTTTCGAAGACATGAACGAACTCACACTGGGGAGAAACCCTATGCATGTAAGCAATGTGGGAAAGCTTTTAGCACAAACAGTTATTGTCAAACACATGAAAGGATTCATACTGGGGAGAAACCTCATTTATGTAAGCAATGTGGGAAAGCTTTCTACACACACAGTGATTGTCAAAGACATGAACGAACTCACACTGAGGAAAAACCTTACGTATGTAGGCAATGTGGGAGAGCTTTCACCACACGCAGTTATTGTCAAATACATGAAAGGATTCATACTGGGGCAAGACCCTATATATGTAAGCAGTGTGGGAAAGCTTTCGGTACACAAGGTAATTGTCAAAAACATGAACGAACTCACAGTGGGGAGAAACCCTATATATGTAAGGAATGTGGGAGAGCTTTCGGTACAATAAGTGATTGTAGAAAACATGAAAGGACTCACACTGGGGAGAAACCCTATGTATGTAAGCAATGTGGGAAAGCTTTTAGCACACACAGTTATTGTCAAGCACATGAAAGGATTCACACTGGGGCGAAATATGTGTGTAAACAGTGTGGGAAAGCTTTCAGCACACGCAGTTATTGTCAGAGGCATGAACGAGCTCATACTGAGGAAAAGCCTTATGTATGTGGGCAATGTGGGAGAGCTTTTAGCACACTCAGTTATTGTCAAAAACATGAAAGGATTCACACTGGGGAGAAACCCTATGTATGTAAGCAGTGTGGGAAAGCTTTTGGTACACAAAGTGATTGTCAAAAACATGAACGAACTCACACTGGGGAGAAACCTCATGTATGTCAGCAATGTGGGAAAGCTTTCTATACACAAGGTGATTGTAAAAAACATGAAAGGACTCACACTGGGGAGAAACCCTATGTATGTAAGCAATGTGGGAAAGCTTTTAGTGCACAAGGTAATTGTAGAAAACATGAAAGGACTCATACTAGGGAGAGCTGCTATTTGTGTAGTCACTGTGGAAAAGCTTTTAGCAGGTACAATGATTGTAAAAAACATGAAAAGTCACATGCTGAGGAAAAGCCATATGTGTGTAAGGAATGTGGGAAAGCTTTCAGTACACAAAGTAATTGTAAAAAACATGAAAGAACTCACACTGGGGAGAAGTCTTTTGTTTGTGAGCAATGTGGGAAAGCTTTCTGGACTCAAAGTGATTGCCAAAGACATGAACGAACTCACAGTGGGGAGAAACCCTATGTATGTAAGCAATGTGGGAAAGCTTTCGGTACACAAGGTAATTGTCAAAAACATGAAAAGATTCACAGTGGGGAGAAACCCTATATATGTAAGCTGTGTGGAAAGGCTTTTGGTGCACAAGGTAATTGTAAAAAACATGAAAGGAGTCACTCTGGGGAGAAGCCCTATGTGTGTAAACACTGTGGAAAAGCTTTTAACAGACACAGTGATTGTAAAAAGCATGAAAGGATTCACACTGGGGAGAGACCATACGTGTGTAAGCACTGTGGGAAAGCTTTCAGCAGGCGCAATCACTGTAAAATACATGAGAGGACTCACTGGAAAGAAACCCAAAGTGTATAAGCAATGTGGGAACGATTTTAGTGCACAAGGTAATTGTAAACAATGTCAAAGAACTCACTGGGGGAGAAGCCCTATATATGTAAGTAATGTGGGAAGTTTTCTCCATCCATAGTAAATATAAAAAACCACATGGGCCGGGGAGATAGCTCAGTAGAATAAGCACTTGCCTGGCAAGCTTTAGTCCACTGAGTTCAATCCCCAGTACCACAAAATAAAATAAAGTAATCATGCAAGGACTCATACTGGGGTGAAACTCTTAGGTATTTAAACTGTGGGAAAGCTTCTTTCAAATCACAGTTGTCAAAGACATGAAAGGAATTCGTGCAGTGTAGAAACCCTATGTATGTAATATGGAAAACCTTTCAGTCACTCTTAATCATCATACATATTTAAAATTTTTAAATAAACTATATAAAATGACTTATAGTGACAGTAATCCAATATTTTATTTTGTATATTTAGTACAGGATCTACAAGGTCTCACTACACAGATCGGACTCAGTGATCCTGTTTTCAGCCGCCCAAGTGCTGGGATCACAGGCGTGTGCCGCCAAGCCCAGTTTCAGTTCCCATCTCAAGTGCACCCCGGGCGCAGGCCTGGCACGGCATATGGTGCCGGGGATTGAACCCCAGTCCCTGTGCTTTGCCTAAGTAGGCACTTTAGCCCACTGAGCTATCTGGCCAACCCTTATACAATATTTTTAAAAGTCAGTACAGGTATTATTACATACCTGAGAGAATTCATAGAACTTGAGAATCTGAACATAAGTGAACAATGTGGGAAATGTTTTATTTTTCTCAGTGTATTCAAGTTCATCAAAAATTTTCATGAGAGGGCTGGTGAGATGACTCAGTGGTCTAAAGCACCTACTTAGAACAAGCTTAGCAAAGCACAGCAACCGCGGTTCAATCCCCCAGCACCACATGCCAGCCAGCTCCCCCCATAAATAAATAAATAAACAAAAATTAAAAAAAAATTTGCATGAGAGTTGGTGAGATAGCTCAGTGGTCTAAAGCGCCTTCTAAGGCAAGCTTAGGGAGGCACAGGGGACCACAGTTTGATCCTCGCATTACATGCTGCACCAGCCCTGCCCTTAGGGCAGGCTGATCCAGCCAAAATAATGAAAAAGAAAAAAGAAACATACCACGAGAGGGAAGCTGTATGTATACAATAAATATGGGAAATCCTTCTATTTTTCCACTTCAAAGTCATGAAAGAACTCCCACTGAAGCAAAAGCCTGTGTAAATAATGTCTGAAAACCGTTTGGTTCTTATAACATGAAAATGCATAAACAAAATGAGATATTGTAGATAGACTAAATGTGAGAAAGCTAAGAATCAGAGTAACAAAGAGGTTTGTTAGGAAGGAGATGCTATGTTGCCACACATGTACAGAGACAGTCTTCCAGTATATCCATAGGTTAATGTACTGTACAGGTTGAAAAGTACATAATGATGAACTCAGAATAAGGAAGCACCTTGCATCCAAGTCTTCACTACGTAGCCTTTAAGGGATATCTTACATGCACATCACCTTAGTTGTATTAATGAAGTGAAATTTACTCATACAATAAAATTTTGTGGAGTGTTAAAGGAAATCCTTCACTTATGACAGTGTCGATTAACCAGGAGGTCATTACGTGAGCCATGCACACAGACAAGTTAAAACCTGGTCATATCTGTCTTTAGCATCTAAAATTGACAACTTTCAAGAATCAGTTTAGTAATGGTTGCCACATGTGTGTGAGTAGGCAAGTTGAAAAATGTTAATAAAGCTTATGGTGGCACGCACCTGTAATCCCAGCTCTTGGGAGGCTATAAACGGGTGGGTCACTACAAGTCTGATCTAGTAGTGAGACCCTGTAGACCCTTCCCTAAAATACAAAAAAAAACAAACAAACTTAATGTTTCTCTTACAGAGTACAGAATGGCACAGAACCCTTAGTGACTACAGTGATTGATGCAGGGCCACATAGCATTACAATTGCTAAAAGTTGTTCATAGTGTTTTCTGTGTATATCAAAAAGGTAATTGTGTTAGGTGATATAAATGCTTCCAAGGAAGAGTGAGGTCTTTCACAGTATAAGCAGCCACAGATTACACCACACAGTTTCAATATGTGATCTTTATTTGTTTAATGAATAGATGCAATTAAATGGAGCAAAAGGAAAAAATTATGATTGTAGTTTCATTATATCCACAGAATCTCACCTTCATTTTGTACAAATGTAATTTAACTTTTACTGTGTTTATTTCTGAGAGTTTTCAGTATTCCTTGGTCCAAAAGCTGTGGAATACTGTTAAATTGAAAGTAGTATTTTAGTAAAGTTTATAGTTGCTTCGTTAAAAATGTAAAATCATTTTTCAGGATATAGTTTGGAAACGTCTAACATCATGAGTTCATTTCGTCCCATGTTGACAAAGTGGCTATATATATGGTCAGAGAACTTTCTGTATTTCAAAGCACTTAAGCTTCTTTGTCTGATTTAATACACTTAACATTATGTTTTCAAGGTGTATTGATTTGTCTACAAATGTGTTGTATTTATCCTTCTTTATATGTTTATGGGGGAAAGCCTCCACATGGCCACCTCATTTTTTTTTTTCTTTGCGGTACCAGAGACCAAGCTCGGGACTTTGCCACTTGCCAGGCAGGCACTTATGCCACTGAGCTATCTCCCCATCTCTATCCTCATATGAAGGAGGATATGTACAAGTTGCATACTTTCTTCATTTACCTGTCGTTGAACATATACGAGGACACGGGGAGATAGCTCTAACAAATAGGAGGGGGTCATGAGGCCAAGGATGAAAAGGAGGAGACGTAAAAAGATGTCATGTGTCGACTACCTACAATGAACACAATCTTTATACATCACAAATATGAATTAAGTACCATTACTACTAATCCTGATAATGATTATGATGAAATTGGGAAGGAGGATCTGGTGCCAGAGGGAGGGTGCCAAGTGAGGAGGGGAAGAAAAATGAGAATCAAAATGTTAAAACGTATGCCTGCTCCCTAAGATAAATGTGAATGTATACTTCAAACATGCATTAATAAAAAAGATTTAAGTACTTAAATATCTAGCGGTATTTTGTAGCTTTTTGTGCTTCTTAAAAAGTTAGCAGGGCCAGGCATGTATAGCTTAGTGGCGTAAGTGCCAGTGTTCAATCCCTGGCACAAAAAAATAAAAAATAAATTAGTAGATGTATTAAAAATATTATACGAAGATGCTCTGGGGTCTTTGCTTCGAGACGCAACCTTCCTGTTGCAGGTTTCTTTAGTTTTGAATTACACATAAGCATGCGTCTTTCTCATAGGCTCCAACGAAATGTGTTGACATTGACCAAGCAGCGGTCCATTGCATGCACTTCCATTGGCTAGCCTTGGCAGCGGGTGTGTGACGTTGTGAGAAAGAGGAAGATGCATGTGTCACCCATGCATCAGGACAGGAGCACCTATCAGGATGCATTAGCAGATAGAACATACGTGTTTTGGCTATTTGGATCCTACCATGACTGTTGGTATACCGTACGATTCACCAAAATGTATTTATAGACCCCATCTTCTGTTAGCAGATCTAAACAAGATACCATAGGGCTGTCCAGTTTCTTAAATAATTATTTCTCAGTTGTGAAGCCTAGGAAATCCAACATCAAAGCACCAGCAGTTTAAATATCTAATGAGATGTTGTTTACATGTTGTGAATTTTAGCCAAGTTCTGCCGAGGCAGGCAGGCAGTTACACAAGGTATCTTTGGTCTCCTTTACATGTATATGTGCTTTTGAGTTCCTAGTCCTAAGACGCTGGCTGCTTCTGGAATGAGAATAATGTTTTCACCCAATCAGGATGAATGCTTTTATGTATTATCTGCTTCTAATCAGAGTGTCCCACATAAATAAATAGAACCTATATTCTCTACACATTTTCAGGTTGGAAATTCTAAGAGCATGGCAAAAAAATGTAGTGAGGTCCTTTCTTGTACATAATGTCTTGTTGAAAGGCAGATAAATGTATGAGATAAAAAGCAAGAGAAAGCCGTGCTGATGCTGATTCCACGCCATTCTCATAATGATAACATCATTCTACTTAGCAGGGAAAACACTCATTCATCATAGCTTGTGGATTCATAGGAGAACCATCATTGTTAGATACTCATTTTGCAAAATGAAAATTTTAGGGAACATACTAAATGTCACAATGGGTTACTGATTTGAAACATCAGACTGAGCCAATCAGAGATCCAGAGGACAAGGATGTCGACAGTTAACCTTCAGTTTCCACATCAGTAGAGGCTGAAACCTCAGTGGTGGTCGGAGTCCACTTACTGACTTATTCTCAGTCAATTGCATGACAGTGTGATCTAATGAGATCAAATATTTGGGTATCACTTGGTTTTATTTACTTAAAATAAATGTTTCTCCTTATATCACAAATATATCTAACATTCAAAACCATACTAGCATGGTTAGGTGAAAACCAATATAGTTTGAATTATTCAAAGGGCTTGTGAATGAATTACTGTACAGAGCATTTTATAGATTGTTGTGCATCTGTGTGGGAAGTGAATGCAGTGCAACGTGTGCTTTTGTTACTAAGGCATCTTTGTAAATTCCTTGATAGATGTAAGTGCTCTGTATGGAAGAGTATTATAGGCAGGCCAATATCATGGAGAGCACCATTGGGGATAAAATAGGTGTCGTCAGTTCTATGTATCTTATTGTATTTCTCAGTACTCTTCACTGAAGAATTTGGGGGCCGGGGAGATAGCTCAGTAGAATAAGCGCTTGCCTGGCATGCGCAAAAACCTGAGTTCAATCCCCAGTTCCCTCCCCACACACAAAAAAATAATAGAATTTGGACATAATTCTACTCTCTTCTGCCCCTATTTTGTCTTCCTGTAGCCCGCCTGCCATGACTCATGAATTGTTCATCTGTTATCAGACTTTCCCTGTTCTATTTTTTGTACAAAGGAAAATCTTTTGTGACTTAATCTTATTGTGTTTACAGTGTGCTCATGTTATTGTAAACCCTATTCTTATGTCTTGGTCTAGGCCCATCTGCTGGTTGCATTGAAATATTAAAAAATAAAGGAACATTTCTGGCTCATCTCTGCCTCCTGTGAAAACTTTCTAAGCTCCCTGCCTGATGAGGATTACACAATTTTTTTCCTTCAGCTTGATGTTACCTGTTTTCCTACAGGTAGAAAAGTTAAGAAAACTAAGGATGCCTTCCCTTTGATAATTGTGTATATATTCTCCACCATAGTGACTTGATTTTTTGTAGAAAAGGTGACAGGAATGGAGAGTACAGTAGTGGGAAATGGCTTCACTGAAAGACCAAAAATATGCCACATTTTTCTGGCATGTACACAAACGCCTTGATATCTTCACATACTGAAAAGTTTAATGAAGTGAAAATTGAGGGACAACCATGTCCCTTTTCCAATCCACAAAGCTTTTTCCAGAGTTGTCCTGATGCCCACAGTTAAGGAAACTGATAGAAAAAAGGACCAAAAGGTCTGCCAGTCAGAGGTGGTGTCTAGGTGAGTGATGACTGTGCTTTTAAACTAAGGTGACAGTGCCTGATTACCTCTTCTTTCTGAGCTTCAGTGTTTCTAATTTGGAGTAAGTAAGGTTGCCCAGGTGAATACTCTGCCATGTTGGCTGATGTTAGAATCCTCTTTGGAATTTTAAGTGTCCAAGAAGCTGGACCCTTACACAGGTGAACAAGGGTAGGCATGCTGTCCTGGAGTCAAATTTTTTTCCATTGCCTTGATGTTACCTGTTTTCCTACAGAGAGAAAATGTTGAGAAAACTAAGAATGCCTTCACTTTGATGATTGTGCATACATTCTCCACCATGACCAAATCATGACATGTGTTA